CTTGCTTCTGAATCATTTCCATGGCTTTGAGGCGTTTTGAAATGGCTTGTTGAGTCACTTCCAATGATTATGCCAATTCTTTTTGATTTTGACATGAGTCTTGATCAAGTAATGCCTCCAATTCTGCATCTTCGAAAACCTTCTCTCTTCCGCTATGCCGGTCTTCGACGTCAAAATCATCGTTCTTGAAGCGTTGGAACCCCACTCACGACACGTTCTTTCACTAATAGCAGCCTCACCATAAGTATTTGAGAGCATTCGATGAGCCTCAGCCGCAGATTTTTTCATATTGAAGCAGAAAATTAAAATCTCCCGCAAATGACGAGAATTTGGCTCGTAAACTGACATTTTCAATCGAGAATAACTTTATGATGCAGACACAAATCGACTAATGTTTCTATGGGATTATGTTGACAGATGCCCAAGTTCATTGTATGACGTCTATGATCTATTTATTTCGACCACCACTTACCGCTAAAGCCATCTATAGGAAAACGGCGGAAGCAAAGTTGTACACCTAATAATAAAAGTCCAAAATCTGCAAGAGAATAATAACAACAAAATCGGCACTAAGATTAAAAAATTGAACATTTTTATTATATGTCTAGTAAATACTTTATATGTCTAAGAGTTACCTTGATCTGAAATAACGGTTAAGTGACGAGTTAGCAAAAAAGGTGGCAATAGTAGCCAAACAAGTCAGAAATTACAAATGTCAAGGCGTGTCGGAGAAATTCGAGGAAGCACAACAAGTCAATATATTTGTATACAAAGTGTGATATCAGCGCAGCAAACAAAGCGGTTCATAAACAATGAAAAATAATTTCGGAAAAACGTTATTAGTTTAAAATCGGCAAATAACATTCACTCAATAAAGCTGTATCATTTTGAGCGTTTAATCCGTGTTTCTGTTTCTTATTAAGAATAATTTCGACAATTAGTCTTCTATAATAATTCCGTTCTCTATGCAAAATTTTCGTGTTGGTTCAATCAAACTCATGAACTCAATGAACTAGACGGTGTTCTTGGACCACCGAGAGATTCGCAGACGAGTCACGAGGGATCCTTTTGTGTTCCCTAATACGTATACAAAATTTTCTACTTGTTTACTCCACATATGTTGTATCACAATTCATACAGAGAAGTTTGTATACAACATTATTGTTCTTATCGTAAGGGAGTAAGTCCTTATGGACTCAAAGTCCGTGAGCTTGTTTTTGCAAGCGTAAATAATTTTTTTTATTAGCTTCCTTTGCTACCGTGCCAAAGCTTTCCGAAATAGCTCCCATGTACGGAATGGTAAAATAATTAATAGTTTGCGAAACCATTAAAGCAGAATTATTAGTCTTATTATCCTGCAATTTCGCTGCATTAAGTTTGCAGTAAAGAGCTGCAAAATGGCGATTGATAGTATTAAAAATTAAATATCCAGCGGATAACCATTGTTAATTAAAGTTCTAATAATTAAATTTAAATTTTGATAGTATTTCGCATGACTGAGTAATACAGCTCTATCAATAGTTAGTTAACATCATGCTATTACATCTGCGTGTTGGTTCGTAACAAGCCCTTACTTCTCCTTACTTAACACATATTTCGTCATATGTAGATAACTACGCTTATGTATATTTCTTGCTGTCATAAGTCTACGCCAATGGCTGTACGATTGCGCATTCGACTTGCGCAGATAAGGAAAGAAAATTCTCTTGATATTTTATTTCTTTCACCATTCTGCCAAGACTCGCATGCTGAGTCTATTATGTCTATATCTATATACAGGGTGTCTCATTTTAAGAGTGCACCCCAATTAACTTCATTATTTTTTATTTTAGAGAAAAATGTTTAGACAAAAGTTATATGATTTCGAGGAGGTCACAAGATGGTACCATTGATTTGACCTTGGATAGCCATTTGAAAATTACGTGAAGGTCACCTTCAATTTCTTAAATGGAACATACCATTTTTAATTACATATTCTTGTAGCTTATCTCGAGAGCTTTCCAAAACACTACAATAAAATATTTTTCTATTGCATACTTTTCGAGTTATAAAGCTCTAAATTTTCAGTATTTCGATAAAAATACAAATTCGCTTTCCTGTAGTCTTACCTTACATGATCCAACCAGTCAAGGCAAGATAATCTGATCTAGCCATTCAAAACAAGATTCGGATATGACTCAGTCAGTCAAAGCAATATTCGGACATAATCCAGTCAGTCAAGGCAAGATATGAGCATGATCCTGCACTGACTAAATTTCCAATCGAAAGAATTAACAATTACATTTTCACGATTGTTACAGTTTATTGATTGTCAGTCAGTGCAGGTAGACACATGTATTACAACCATTAACTTTTTCTTGGTAAGACAGAAACTTTCAAGATTTTTGCGAAGCCTTTTTTTCTTTACAAAATTATGACTGCTTATCCACCAAATGAAATTGTGGACATGATCCGCATTTTGGATGAGGCCAGGAATAATTACTCGGCAGCAGAAAGACTTTACGCTGAAAGATTTTCAGACAGACGCCATTCTGATAGGAGAGTAATAAAAAAAACTTTGCGACAGAGCTGAGCAGCGTTTTCTAAGAAGAAACCGGCGAAAATTGGGTCTTGATGAGGTAACATCATTGACTGTTATAAGTGCCGTTGTTTTGAACTCTCAAATCTCTACGAGACAAATTGAGAGACAATACGGTATACTAAAATCAACAGCTGATCGTGTGCTCAAGGTCAACAAATTTTACCCATATCACATTCATCTAACTCAGCAATCTAATTGGAAAAGAGGAACTTCCAACGCCGAGTCCGTTTCTGTAACTGGGCTCGAGATCAAATCCAACAAAACCCCGGTTCGTTGCTCATATCCTTTTTTCTGATAAAGCCACATTTTGTAACAGAGGGAGCGTTAATAGACATAACTGCCATTATTATTCAGATGTTAATCCATATTGGCAGAGAAGTCAAGAGTTCCAAAGGCAGTGGTCTGTTAATGTTTGGGCAGGTATTCTGGGAGATGTTATTGTTGATCCATATTTTTTTTAAAAAAACCTCAATGCGGCAAACTACCTAACATTTCTTCAACATGACCTGCCCAACCTCTTAAAACATGTCAACAACGATGTACTCAGACAAATTTCAACCAGATGGAGCGCCGGCTCATAGATCTCATAGCCGTTACACAATATTTAAACGTAAGATTCCCGAATAGATGGATTAGTCTGGGCAGCCAAATTCAATAATGGCCCCCAAGATCATTCGACTTGACGCCCCTAGACTTTTATTTCTACATTAAAGATAAAGTATATTCGAAAAAGCCAACAATCGTTGAAAATATGAAAAACCGGATCAGAGAAGCTTGCAGAAATATTAATGCAGGTGTTCTTCAAAAAGTTAGGGACGATTTTCAGCATAGTGTTATGCATACAAGTAAATGGCCAAGTTTTCGAACATCTAAAATAATTGTACAAAAACTCATTTTGCCTTGACTGACTGGATTATGTCCGAATTTTGTCTCGAATGGCTAGATCATGCTCAGATTATCTTTCCTTGACTGGCTGTCATGTAAGATAAGATTACAGGAAAGCGAATTTGTATTTTTATCAAAATACTGCAAATTTATAGCTTTATAACTCGAAAAGTACGCAATAGAAAAATATTTTATTATAGTGTTTTGGAAAGTTCTCGAGATAAGCTACAAGAATATGTAATTAAAAATGATATGTTCTATTTAAGAAATTGAAGATGATCTTCACGTAATTTTCAAATGACTATCCAAGGTCAAACTAATGGTATTAACTTGTGACTTCCTCGAAACTATACAACTTTTGTCTGAAACATTTTTCTCTAAAATAAAAAATAAGGAAGTTATGGAGTGCACTCTTAAAATGGGACACCCTGTAAAGTCTATATACAGAGTGGGGCAAAAGTCTGGAAACATTCAAATATCTTTTAAAAATGCATTTTTAAAAAAAGTTTTAGATAAAATTTGTAAGATTTAAAACGACGCGTTCAACGGTGGTATCCATTTGACATTGGGTGACGTTGTCAAGGTCAGGTCAAGATCACATTAATTTTTTTTAATGGAACCTCCTATTTTTTATTGCATATTTGTATAGTTTACCTCGGGAACTTTCCAAAACATTATAATTAAATATTTTTTCGTTAGATACTTTTCAAATTATAAGGCTTAAAAGTGACAGTACCACCGGTATTAGCGTTACCCTTGGATATACCTTGGTATATCGTGTGAAGCCTGCACGGTTGGACTTACATATTTTTTGTGTGTATGTGTGTGTGTGTGTGTGTGTGTGTGTATTGTATGTATATGTTCATTTTATGTTCATCTAGGACATTGTAAAGTCATAGAAGGGAAACACTTTGAACATTTACGAAAGTAATATGCCTACAAAAATGTACAAAAAATTCTTTGTTAAGTTAAAACCCACATTCGCATGCGCGTACACACACACGTATACACACAAAATATGTAAATCCAGCCATGCAATCTCTATGCGGTACATTTTGGGTAATATTATTGCAAACATTGTGCCTCATAATTCGGAAAATACTTAATGAAAAAAAATTATAGTATTTTGCAAACTAAGCTATAGCTTCCTGATAAGCTATAAGAATATGCAATGAAAAATTGAAGTTTTCATTTTAAAATATCAGGTTGACCTTGACTTGATCTTGGCAACGCCACTCAAGATTAAGTGGATATTACCATTGAATGCATCTTTTAAATCTTATAACTTTTCTCGGAAACTTGTTTTTCAAAAATGCATTTTTTACGAGACATTTGAATGTTTTCAGACTTTTGCCCTACCCTATATATCTATGGTATGAGCTTCAAACGCATTCAAAGAAAATATTTTTTTCCAAAATGTTAATACCATCTCCAAAAAATATCGACTCTTTTTTTTTATTACATGCGTAGCGCGCAAATGTAATACCTTCAGCTAATTAAATTTGTTTTAAATATAAATGCAACGACATCATACTTAAGTAAATTTTGATGTTTTTCAATGCACTTTGCGAAATCATATACATTCGTGACTGTCCGTATGTCCTCAGCTAACAATTTGAATCTCGCTGATGCCAGCCAGAGTAACAGTGCCATGAAACCGTTTACCGACAATTGCGCTGCTATTTGCAAGCCAACGATAATTTGATGTACGTATGTAATAGCCCTCAGCGGTTGATGAGATGCGTCAAATGGAAATTCGGCAAGTACTGGGAGCGGCTGGTCCAGTACAATAGGTCCCAGAAAGATAGCGAAAAGAGTCGTATAGAACGAAGCTATGCAACACCCATAAAAACTGGCATATCTATTGATGTATTTTCGTTGAATAATCGCTTCTTCATGAGGCTTAATCATCGTGCAAAAGTTCTCCATTTCGAATGTAACACACTGTAATCCAATAAAACTTAAAAATAATTTTATGCTCACTGAACATATAAAAGAACATATAAAAGAAATAAGTTTATTTTCAAAAAACAATGTTTACGTTAGTTACTTGTAAGCGTTCATAAATAACTATATGACACACAATATTCCAAATAACGTGACTGCAAGGGAACAGACCCAAGGCTGACTTTATAACTAAATTAGGATCATTTAGATTTTTCACCAGACCATACAACACTGATGCTATTACAGCGATAGTTAGTAACATAGAGACAAATTGATACAACTTCATGTACAGCAGCTTGCGTTTGCTGGCGCTTTGCGGTAGTGGCCAAAACCATATAACAAATAGGCTCAACTTCATGATAACCATCAACTTTTTCAGCGTTACTTTTCCTTGCATGATTATGCCGAGCTAACGTACAAGTGTATCATAGATAACTGTAGTTTATCACGCTTTGAGTTCGAGCAATAGGCGATAGAAGAGTTTGCAACATAATGCCCTTATTTGAATGTACGATATAGCGAGATATTACTTAAAAAATTATACACTATCTTGTAATTTTTTCTTCTTCACGCGATATAAAGTCTGAATAATATTCTTGCAAAACATGCGATAGAAATGAAAGCTTGAAATATATAAGGTTAATACTTCTTGCACTATTTATTGGTATAAGTCGGAGACGTATGCGTTTTGACGAGTTAAATTGATGTATGCTTTTGCAATTGTGTTATAATATATAACATCTGTCAAAGTAACCTAAGATATTCTCGAATGATATAGAATTTTGAACGCCGCATCTAGTCTATAGACTGAAAGCAAGTGGTATGGAAGGTGAATAATTTAGTTAACATTCTCTCGAGGCAATGCAGTTCTTAAATTATCGTTTCTAGAAGCATACACTATATAATAAAATATCTTATCGTAAACTGAGTTGCAAAGATGAGTAGAAGGAACATATTTTCTTTAACTTGTGCGTATAGCGTGCTACGTAAGTTTATTTCATGTAAAATTTATCGGTCATTTTGCCATAAAAAATATTATAAAAAACATAATAAATTTTTTTTAATAATAATTTAAAATTTTAAAAGCTAAATTTTAATTACCACGTTCCATACTTTCTTCGATTAAATATAGCAACTAGTGTAACTTGTATTGACTATGAAAATAGGTGACTATGAAAATAGTAACTTATGTTGTTACTAGATGTTTTAATGGATGTTTATTGTTATCACAGTGACAAGCTTTTCTTCGTTAAAATTTATCAATTATTGTAGTGGCTTATATATTTAGTGAAATACACATACGTGCACGCAGTGAAATATAAGTGTTTTTATTACAAAATGTCTCGTTGAAAAGCTGCTTTACTTTATAGTAGAATTTTTGTCGATTATCTCATTCTCGCATCATTAAAAGGGATATTCTTTCTTGTTCTGAAATATTGAATTGTTTATTTAGTAATATTTATTTTATCTCCTTCAAAATACTCCCCATTTGATGCAATGCACTGGTGCTAACGCTTGACCCAGTCCTCAAAGCACTTTTCATACGCTGAAACTGGTATTGCCTTCAGCTCTCGTTACGAATTTTCTCGGAGTGGCAACTTGACTTTAGGAAACAGAGAAAAGTCACAGGGAGCCATGTCAAGTGAATACGGTGCTTGCGAAATCATGTTCATTGGGTTTTTGGTTAAAAATTCCCGTACAAGAATCAAAGTGATAGAGCATTATCGTGATGTAAAAACCATGAATTATCTTTCCATACATTTGGTCTTTTCCGACGAATATTCTCATGCAAACGCTTCATAACGCCTAGATAATATTCTTCATTAACTATTTGGCCTTCCGAAAGAAATTTTGAATGCACAACACTACAATAATCAAAGAAAATAGTGAGCAAGATTTTGTTTCTTTTACGACCTTGAATGCTTTATATCAATCATATGCTTGTGTTTTCGATAGATACGATTCACCAAGACCTTTTGTAACGAATTTTCAACGAATTGGTACATGAAATTTCGTTAGCAAAATTTAAAACATATTCTTTGCTCAACAGATTTATCCATTGTAAAAATCGCAGAAAGCACTTGTGTAGGCTAATATAAACAATTGCCATAAACAAACTAATTGACAAATTACGTTAAAACTTTACATGATATTTAAGGACAGTGGTGCCAACTTACATAAATTTTTTTCATACATTCAACGCGCATCTTTTAAATAACAAATTCCGGGTACTTTTTGAATATAATGTACATTAAGAGACTGACTTGGGTAAATATTGGGAGTGTGAATAAGTTCTCGCCGTTTCACCAATCAGATGGCGGTATAAAAATTTTGTGTGTATAATTCAAGATGCATCTATATTGAAGTTCTATAACCTATGTTTAAAATCAGTGCGTATTTTTCCATTAACCTATAAAGAACATTTTCTT